CCCACCACCACCACCCGTTTGAAAAATTCTGGATCCGCCCCTGATACGCCACTGCATTATGCATTTTCTTAAGCTAATGACAGATAGTTAAAAATCAATTAATAGCTTTCATATATAAATTACCGCAGTTATTTTCGTCTTCACATAAATCACGACAATCACATTGCCCATCGCAAAGTTTTGATCGTAGAATACATACTCCTGTACTACACATAAATCCATCAGCCGAGTCGCACGAGCAGTTCTGCTTCTCATCTTCTTCCGTCAGTTCGCAGTCAATAAAAAAATCACAAAACAAATTTCGAAATATTCGACCACTTCTACACATGATGTAGTCATCTGGAATGAAAAAATGAAATGATCATGAATCAAAAAACATAATAATAATTACGAATTGTGGGAATGCTGGGGCATGGTATATACTATGGTATATCATTAATAAGCCTATATAGGCCTACTGTTTGTACTAGCATTATATAAAAAAAGTTCAAACATTCTATCTAAAGAATTTAGGGCCTACTTTTTGATTTAAAATAAGACATGCATGTTGGATAGCCGAGCGGTTAAATCAGGGGCACCGCAACATATAGTCAAAATATCGGCGCTGGTTCGAACGCCACCTTCGTTCATGGTTCTGGTCGTGGAACAAGTCTCTTTGGATAAGGACTATAAACCGTAGGCCCAGTGTACATAATCTGGCTTATTTTCACTTTAAGTAACCCAGTAAATCTTTCGAGATGAGTAGGGTTATTTTTTACTCCGGTGTACTGGTTCATACAAAGAGTAGGCCTAGCTGGTAGCCTACCGGTTTACCAGGTAGCTCACACACGCAGAGACCCTTATGGGAGAAGCAAGTTACTGTAAGTGCCAGTAAACACCTTGGGTGCTTTGAGACCGTTTCGGTATAATACATTACCGTAACAATTATTATTTCAATTATTATTTCACTGACTTAAAGACAAAAACCCTTTCACTCATTTAATTAAATTTTAGAGTAGTAGTTTACCCAAGAAGTAAGTAAATAATACGAGTTAAGAATCGGATACAACCCGTCTTTTAATTGACGAGGAAAATAATTTATGTACTTGTTTTTGTCAACAAAATATTTCTCGACGAACACTCTATGAACTCTTACAATTTTCAATGCAGTTGTCCTCATCACTCGTGTCGCCACCGCGGCAATTTACTTCGCCATTACATCTATAACCTGGTTTCAAGCATTCGCCATTTGCACATTGGAATTCATGAGTATAACATTCACGGTGCTCTGTAATGATATGAGATTGGTCGATCTTTGACACACAAAACAAAACAATCCATTTTAACTACGGTATTGCGTACTATTCAGAGAGACAGTGCTACTGTATTATAAAACACACAAATACTAAGCATAAACTTTGTTTTAAATTATACAAGAAAAAGAGTACATAAACCATGGAGGAAGAAAATATTTTCTTCCTCCATGATTAAACTTATAGTCATTTATCTTCGTAACTTCAAGAAATGGACATTCATTGTTGAAAAAGCAAAATTTAAAATGGCGTTGCTGAAAATCAAAAAGTAGGCCTATGTCTTTTATTACGAATTCACAGAATGCCTTGGTACTTTATTAAAGAAGATTTTCACTTATGCCTACTTATATTTACAGGTAGATTTAAGTGTATATAGTGCCTTATAAACGAGCTATAAAAAGAAAACGAATAACATTTGTAATTACGGGTTTTTTTTTTATTCTACTTACATGATATTAGGCTTCTAAATTTTTGTAAGATTGTAAAGATGTAACCTTTTTTATGATAGTAGAATGTTTACATATTTTATACCAATTTGGCCCTCTGTGATAACAGTACGGTAATTATTTACTGAAGTAATGGTACACCAAATATGAAGAACAAATTAATAAAATAGGAAATATAATAAAGAATTTCAGAAAGTAACATAAATTTACAGTGACAGACAGAGCGATCCATTCTTTTAAAACAACAAAATAACACCTATTCCAGAAAAGAATTTTACTTTAATAAATACGTCTGTTTAAAAAAAATGTATCAAGTAGGAGCAGCTTCAATCTATTAATATGAAGGCTACGGGTCAAAACGTTAAACGTATTACTTTTAACTTAATTTCGGATTCTATTTTGACAAAGATAATTCAACCAACTGATTTTTTTTTTCAAACTACGGTGAATGTCCCGGTAATTATTGGGCTTATCATTAACAATCGCTCAACCTTTCGAGTCGGCACAATGTAACCAAACAGATCCATTGCTACGGGGCAATAATTCAATACCAGCGGGCATCTTTGATACCTGGGAATTCCTAATTATATCTTGTCAATCTCGATACAAGTGACGGTGCAGGTGGTACGTATTGATATCTTGTAATTTCATGTTTTTAGTTCTAGTTGTCGATGAACGATGAATTAAATTTTAATTTTAATGTGAATGTGTGTAATTCGAGAGAATATTTTGGGTCTTAACTTACCACACATTTCATCTGATCCGTCACCACAATCGTCAACGAAATTACATTGTAAACTGAGGTGAATGCATATATGGGAGGTGGCGCACTTCATATGCGTACTTGGGCATTGGTGCAAATCTACAATTTAAAGCAAAATTAAATATAAATAAAAAGCAATATCTATCTCACATACCAAGTGTATAGCTAACTATTTTAGTATAGGTTCAGCCATTTGTTCGAATAATTTATGGAGGAAAAGATGTCTTAAATGCTTTCTTTTAAGTATTGTTTTTACTTTTATGTAGTACGCATCCTAAAATTGTTTGATTAATGTAATTTTCATTTCCGCTAATGTGAACATTTACAACCTGTTAGTATTTATATCACCTTATAAGTAAACTCCAAGAGACGATTGAATAATTGTTATAGATCTACCTCACTCGCAAGGGGTGGCGCCAGATTGGATGTCCCCGACGAGAGCAAAGTGAACGTGTCGATCGGGCGTAGCTCAAAATCTTTTGGAAGCCCCCCGCAAAATATGACAATTTAGGGGTTTCAAAGGCTTATTTAATAAATTTTAGAGTCTACAGTAGAAAATACATATAATTTGATTCCCCGAAGAATTGTGATTCTCAGGGGCGGGCGGCTCTGGCGCTACCCCTGCGCAGTCGCGCTCGTCTTCACAGGAGTTCACAAACACAAACCCATCACATTGTCTCATCCGAAGACGGCGGTGCGCGTTTGAAAAAGAAGAGCAGCCAGTTGCTTAATGGCTGTGGGCTTTTGGGGGCGAAGCTCAGGGTCTCTGGTCCAAAGGAGCCCCCTGGAGTGTGTGAAAATGATAGTTGATTCTTTTAGTTTATAGTCACGCAATAGGCCTAAGTATACTGTACAGTAATTATATTCTTAACAATACTGACATTGGGTTAAATCTATAAAAACAAATCTAAAATCTATTACCGTTTTAAGGCAAACTTACGGTAATGTTTGATGATTGTTTACAGTTTTTTTTTAAATTATGAAATCGGTATTATGCCATGTAAATTGCAAAAGAATATCAAATAATTACTATGTCAGACCTACCGCAGTCACGCTCGTCTTCACAGAAGTCACAATCACAAGTCCCATCACATCGCCCAAACAGACTTATACATGAATTATAGCACTGAAATTCATCATGACGACATCCTTAATTGAAAAACAATATAGGTCTAAGTACGTTGTAAACTCACACTACACATTCGACAGTTGTTTCATTTAGAATAATATCTGTTATCTTTTATGTCTGTGGATATTAGGCGTAAAAGTGGGCCTAGGCTTAGGCCCATCTAAAAACAAATTTAGAATTAGACATATGCCTACTTGGCTGATTACTTACAAATTTATAAATTAGGTCTTTTCTAAATACCTGTACATTAAATTATGTTAAAATAAGCATATGTGAAAGGCGCGAATTTCGAGAAAAATCTGGATAGGGGCAATGCGACGTGCGAAGCACCGAGAGGGAAAGAAGGGCGGTGATTCTTGCTGATAAATGCTCGATCATAGATCGTGCATGGAATTAAAATTGAAAATTATTTTGTTTTCGTGTATTAAGCCAATTTGTAGTAATCGAAATCAAAATCATGTTTGTTACACATTTTAAGGTCAAATTCTATTCTATACATTATTAGCTACTACAGTCATGTGATACAATTAACGAACGATTATTGGCTCAAATTTTTCACGTCATTTACTTTTTATATCAATTCCCACTCTTCCAATACAGTAATTAAATCCATAAAACATGTGCCACGGATACATAATAAAGGTTTTCGGACAATGTTTAATTTGGTGGGTTGATTTACATCCTACTCATAAAGATAATACCCACCACAATAAGCAGGGCTTTCGTCAGACCCGTCGGGGCAGTCGCTAATTGAGTTACAGGAACTGTTAGCTGCAACACATTCACCTGTACCGCACTTTACATCCGTGGATTTGCAGCTCACCGAACCATGAAGCTCGCTTTTACTAACAACACATAGCGATATCCATGCTATTGCTACAAAGTAGAAAAAAAAACACACATGTATTTACGGATTACAAACATAAGATTATTATGACAGTGTGAATGAAGTCGGTGAATTTCATCGGAAATCCCAATACACATTACGACATAATATATCACGTTTTATATAAAAGCTAATTATCAATCTACCAATTAAGCCTACGTGTATTTCCACATTTCCAAATCGCCTGGGTAAAATAAAAATATAAACAATGGCATTACCAGCGAATTTACATTGGAACGTAGGTCTAATAATACTTAGTTTTATTTAAATGTGTTGCATGATAAATATATCTTCGAAGGCATTAATAAAGCAGAAGAGGGGTCAATATAACAAAATATATTTTAGAAACAATTCTATAGAAAAAATATCGCATTCTCGAAAAAAAATAATTATAAAACAAAGCCATTGATTGAAATTGATGAGTATATAATTAATGTTAAATTTCCTAAGTACCTGCCCTTCCAATAAATAATCTAAATGTTTGTACGTAAATTGGTAACGAAGTTTTTTATTTTTCAAATTAAATAATGTCAAATACATGTAAAATGTGGTAGGAAAGTGAAAGCAAACGTTCAAAATTAAATTGTGTACTGGTTAAATTAAATTTAATACAATATACCTGTCAATCTAGGTTTTTAGTAAGACTGTTGTGTTTTGTATTACACTTTCATAATTTTGTGAAACTTATTTTTTTTTGTGTTGTATCTTGTAATACAAAACAAAGTAAGAATGAAGAAGAAGAGTTTACTTTTACTGTGAATTATAAATAAAGTTATTTGGATCGAAATCAGAACATAGTAATTATCCGATTTAACTTAAAATAATTTATGCATTATTATTATTATTATTATTATTATTATTATGATTATCATCATAACATTTTATTATTATCATTTCATCACTACCATCATTGTCGTTGTTTTGTTGTTGAATAGGCCTTTATATATATA